CTACAGGCATGCCCCACCATACCTGGCTAATTTTTGTATTTTTATTAGGGATGGGGTTTCACCGTATTGTCCAAGTTGGTCTTGAACTCCTGACCTCAAGTGAGCCACCCACCTTGGCCTCCCAAAGTGCTGGGATTACAGGCCCGAGCCACAGTGCCCAGCCAGCAGTACATTTTTTTAAACTTTTATTTTGGATACAGAGTGTACATGTGCAGGTTTGTTACCTGGTATATTGCATGATGCTGAGGTTTGGGGTATTAATGATCCCATCTCCCAAGTACTAAGCACAGTACCTGACAGTTTTCAACTCTTGCTCCCCTTCCTATTTTTACCCTCGAGTAGTTGCCAGTGTCTACTGTTCTCATGTTTATGTCCACGTGTACCCAAAGTTTAGCTCTCATTTGTAACTGGTAACATGTATTTGGTTTTCTGTTCCTTGATTAATTTGGTTAGGATAATGGCCTTCAGCTGCATCCATTGTGCTGCAAAGGACTTGATTTTGCTCTTTTTTATGGCTGTGTTGTGTTCCACATTATATATGTACCACATTTTCTTTATCCAGCCCACCACCGAAGGGCACCTAGGTTGATTCCATGTCTTTGTATCGTAGATAGCACTAAGGCAGTATATTTTTAATAACATGGGCTTCATGAGGCAATGAGAACTAAAACAAATGAGCACAAGAGGAAGATATAAGGATCTGTGCTTTAGCATATTATAATGCTTCTTCCATGGCTTAAAAATTTCCATAGGATCAATTTAAAAAATCACCCTTATTAAAATGCAGTGCTCAAATATAAAGAATAAGATGCATATTGCGACATCACTAGGCAAATAGCTGAACAAGCAGCAACTATAATTATAAAGTGGGAAAAACCACTCAGGCACACCCTCTAATGAGGTGTCAGTGCAGTGCTGAGGGCTGCTAGGAAACCATTGCTGCAAAGTAGTTTTCCTGTAATGTTAGATGGGAGGGCAGAGGAACTAGGTAGACCCAGAGGCTGATGACAAACTGCCCCTGTCTGTAAACAGCAGTCGTGCACTGTTGTATATGCAGTGTAAAGATTTTACTTTCACAGAAGGGTGTGTTTGTATATGCGTTGTGGGAGGGGAGGGAAGGAGAAAGAGTGTGTGTTTGTGTGTGAGAGAGAGAAGAAATTCCTATCACACACTACTAATAGCATTCATAATAGTTTGAACATTCAGTGAAAAAAAAATTTCTGTAATTATTGATATTGGTATATTTGGTATTTTACTCGCATATTTTTAAATTAGACAGAAAAATTCTTAAAATGCTCCACACCAAAGTGTATCTGGCATGTTTTCTGTGAAGTATAACCATGACACTCTCCAGAAATAATGTTTGACACTCTTCCCATGCAGTTCAATTTATGACCTTCCTCCAGTTCTGCAGAACCATGAGGCCACCTCCTCCAGATCCACTTACTAGATCCTTTTCCTGTGGTTATGTAGACCCTGAGAAATGTCAGTCCTGGAACCTGGGAAGTATTGACAGGACCAACATTTCTCTCTCTTTGGGTCTTCTTTGTTAGGTGTCTGAAATTTGAGAATAGAGATGGGCACTAGAACTTTTTAAAGGAAAGAGTGAAATACAAAGAAAACAGATTTTCACTTGTAAATTTGTTTTTACCATGTGTACAATTGGAAGTAGGAGCCTTATCTGAGCTTGAAACTGAGTGAACTTAGAACAGGGTCAGACAACTATTAGAAACAAAGACCAGAGTCCTAGACTCTGCAGCTTCCCTTCCATGAGACTATAGTCCTTAATTTTTTTTTTTACTTGAATAGCAGTAGGGTACAAGTGGTTTTTGATTACATGGATGAACTGTATGGTGATGAAGTCTGGGCTCTTATTGTTCCTATGTGTACATTGTACACAACAGGTAATTTTTCATCCCTTAGCCCCCTCCCAAACCCTTCTTCTGAGTCTCCAATGTTCATTAAACCGCTTTGTATGCCTTTGGGTACCTATAGCTTAGCTCTCCCTTGTAAGTAACAACACGTGCTTTTTGATATTTTATTCCTGAACTACTTTGCTTAGGATAACGGCCTCCAATTCCACCCAAGTTGCTGCAAAAGGCGTTATTATATTTTATGCCTGAGTAGTATTCCCTGGTATATCCATATCACATTTTCTTTGTCCACTCTTCCACTGATAGGCACTTAGACTGATTCCATATGTTTGCAATTGTGAATTGTACTGTGATAAACATGGGCACACAGGTGTCTTTCTGATATAATGACTTCTTTTCCTTTGAATAGATACCCAGTGGTAGGACTGCTGAATCAAATGGTAGATCTACTTTTGAGACTGCAGCCTTTTTTCTTTTTGGAGTTCCTTCAATTACATTATTGTATGTGAACACTTGGAAAAAATGTTCCTTTTTCTTCACAACCTCACCAGCATCTGTTGTTTCTTGACTTTTTAATAATTGCCATTCCGATTGGCATGAGATGGTATCTCCTTGTGGTTTTGATTTGCATTTCTCTAATGTTTGGTGAAGTTGAGCTTTTTTTCACATTGTTAGCCACATGAATGGCTTCTTTTGAGAAGTGTTCATGTTCTTTGCCCACTTTTTGAGCCTGCAGCCTTAACTGCCAACACAAAAGTCTTCATGTTGAGTGAAAGGCTTGGTCAGGTCTGAACTGAAATAGACTTAGTTCCATGTTTTAGTTGAGTCAAGGCTAAGTAAGTTGGCAAAAGTCAAGTTAGGTCTGTGTCTTAGTTCATCCGTACTGCTAAAACAAAATACCTGTGACTGGGTAATTTATAAACAGTGGAAATTTCCTCCTTACAGTCCTGGAGGCTGGGAGTCCAGAATTAAGATGCCAGCATCCAGTGTCCTGTGAGGGACTTGCTGTGTCCTCACGTGATGAAAGAGCAGAAGGACAAAGAAAGCTGAAAGCTTTGGAGCCTTAATCCCATTCAAAAGGGTGGGGCCCTTATGACCTAGTCACCTCCGAAAGGCCCTACCTCTTAATACCATGGCATTACAGAGGCTAAGGTTCAATGTATGAATTTGGGGAGACACACCCAGACTGCAGCAGTTTGCAAATGTGCTTAATGTCTAGTCCTAAACTGGTTTTCTTTCTGTAAACAAAACTAAAAGCATCACTCACTTTTCTAAACATTTTAGTAGTAAGCAGATTTTACAGTTTGGCAGTCTATACCACATGGAAAATTTTTAGGGTAAGGACTTTTCATACTTTGGGTAGCGAAGCCGGTGGTAGAGGAAGCCCAAAACTTCAGAGTTACCTTTAGTTCTTTGAGTTCTAGGCCAGGTCTAGGAAGATAAGTGAAGTGAAGAAGTTTTGGTCAATGTATATACAACGTTGATATAAAGTGAAGAACAAAGCATAGAAGGAGATACATAGAAGAGTTAATAGAATATTAGAGGCGCTAGGGAAAGATGTTTTCTGCTTACTCCATTGAATGTCTGGGGAAATACAGGGAAGGGTGCTCCATACCACCCCAGTTAGCACTTCTAACTATAAACACAGGAGTAAACACAGTTGCTCCCCCTCTTCTCTTCTGCCACTACCTTCCTCTCTCTTCCCCTCCACCTCCAGGTCAGAACTGCTTTTATCCTGTATTTCCAGATTGTTGGGAAAAGTTGAGAGAGAAAGAAAAAAAGAGAAAACAGTTGGAATGTGGCTAGCTAGAGATTTTGTGGTCTCCATTCCCTTTAAAATTACCACGTCCATGTGTGATTGTGCACATGCACACAAGTGCATGAATGTGCACACACACATACTTTTCTTTTATATGTAATACATTTTTAAAGTGATAAACATGGATTGGAGGAAAGAAAATGAGATGACAAAGAGATACTAAATGTGACTGCCTCTGGGAAGCAATCCTTAAATATGCACTCTTCCTCCACCCCTATCCATCCCTCTCTAAAGCAGAGTGAGAGGTACCTTCTCCCTTCTCTTCCAGCACTTGGGTGAAATCTTTCTGTGCATCTTATACTATGTGATACTGTTTGCTTATGTGCTTCTCTCCTCATCTGATGAGCCACCTATATCCAGAATGTCCCTTTTGTTTACTGTGAGTGAGATGGACATATCACACTGTGACTTTCATTGTCCTTAGAACATGTCATGGTAAAGAATAGGCTCTAGAAAGTATGTGATTGTTCCACTGCAAACTCATGATAAAATGATGTATGACTCATTCTGCATCATATGTTGTATTCCAATCTATAATAATGAGCCTTATTTTAATTGTTTCAGCAGTTAGTGGATAGAGAGATAAAGGTAAATAATTTCCAGGCACAACTGTGTTATTAAAATACTATGGACATGTGCAGGAATCTACGGAAATATCAATTGGTCATGATCTTAGATCTTAAGTCATCCAATCTGAGAAATTAAATTAACTAAAACAAGTCATTCGGTTTAACCACTTTATTTCTAAAATACTGAATCATGCCAGTATGTCTGATTCTGATATTCCTCAAGCCAAAATAATTAATATTAACACAATTAGAATTCTCAATGACTTTATATGTCCATCAAGATTATTTCTCAGAAAATTCATTCACTGTGATTTAATGTGAATTTATATACTAAGTTTTACATCTATAAACAATAAGTTTTTAGGAAAAACTCTAGAACCCAAAACACCTACTTGCTTCAGAGAATATGAAATACAGTGAAACTTAAATTTACTAAAAAATTTGAAGGATCCTCATCCTCTACTATTGTAGAAGAATTGAAGCCAAACCCCCAAGTCTGATCCAAATCACAGGTTTGTCACTCTTCCTTTTCCCAAACTCATAATGAAATCATAGTTATCCAGGTATCTATTAATTACAATGAGCAGGCCAACTTCCTCCAATAAATGATATATCTTTGTTGTCGGATTTTTGTAATAAAAGGTCCTCTTGTTTCAGTTTTCAAAATGCGTTTTAGTCTAGAATTACATATCCTTTCTATTTGAGAGTAAATTGTAACTGTTTTCTCCTTCCTTACAGAAGACAATAGATGTGCATCTTCAAATGCAGCATCCTGTGCCAGGTGCCTTGCACTGGGTCCAGACTGTGGATGGTGTGTTCAAGAGGTGTGCCTTTTTCTTTTTTTTTCTTTTTCTCATGGTTGACTTGAGCTATAGCATGACTTCATTTTCCGAATATTCCTTGTCCTAAAGGTGCATCAGGAAAAAGATACTGCTGCACATAAGGAAAATTTTATTTTGTTTTATGCTTGGAAACAGTGTATCTGGCTGACTATAAAGTATAACCTTTTTATTAGGAAAATTATGGTAATTTTGAAACGAAGTGCAAACCATTTTATGTTTTCCATCTGTTCTATAGAGAGAATTGGCAACCACAGCTAGTAACTTTTGATAGTTCAGTAGGCTTTGGTGTGGAATTCTTGCTTCAGCTTGAGGATTAGGTTATGTATCCTACTGTTCAAAATAAGTGTTTTTCTGTTCTACCAAGAGAGACAAATCCTAATGACAAAATTCTTAGTAAAACAATTACAGTGCATTCCTTCTTTCTTGGCTCCAGGGCTGTTTTGTTAGTTTGCTTTTGTCAGTAATCTGCAGTTAGAATTAACTGCCTGTATCTGGTAATTTGCACTGAAGAAGTGATCTGCTAGCTTGGAATTTCTTCTTGTATGAGATTGCCTAAATAATTTTACATTCACTTATATAACTCCTGGGAATTGGAACAAATAGGTCTTTAGTGACCTTGTGCTTGACATGGAGATAAGTCTCTAGTTTTTGTCTCCTCTGACTTAACAACTGTGCCTACCATTATCTTTCCAACCTCCTTTATTACTTCTTAGAGAAAACAGAAAGCTGAAAGGTAGCAACAGATGGTGGACATCACTTTCTTCTAGGAAGCAAGTCAGAACAGAGTCAGGGGAAGGGTTCAAGAAACAGTAGGCATATCTGAAAGTAAGTCTCCCTACTGATAGCCTAAAGGCTTCCCAGATGGACTCTGGGCTTCATCATTGTGAAAACCAGATGTCATTCATGAACTAGAAAGTACTTCATCAAAACTCCTGGAACCAGGGATGTCATAGAGAGGACAATTTCACAATTTCTGGGTCCAATCCCACCACTTCCTGTGAGTCAAATGACCAAAAGAATTCACTTTATTCTAGCATCTCCCTTTCCTCATCTCTATAACCTCAGATTTGGTGTTTGCTTCCAGGTTTTTCTCTGTCAAGAATGTTTCATGGCTTGTTATTTCCTGACCCCAAACCAGTACTTCATTTTAGATTTTTACTGCTTCACTAAGGAAAATCCTTAGAGCCCTGAAGTTTGTGCCAATTTGCTGTCAACTGCTGAATGCTTTAGTGAGGGTAATTTGGAAGAACCTTCAAAAGACAGAACAGAAGCCCAGTTGTCAGCCACATGTAACATGTTAGCCATAGAACGTCAGTTTCAGAGGGACTCCTTCTCCCTCTCACACCTCTGACTAGAAGAAAATAATCTGGAGAGCCACAGCTCTGGGAATAACTGTCCATCCTGCCACAGAAAGAAGAATTTTCATATTCAGAAAAATCAGTTGTCAGATGGAAGGAGCTAGGTCAAGGAGCAAGGAGAGGGCTGCTGGAGGGAGGAAGGAAAACCTGTCACTGTTGGCCACATTCTTCAGATGGGATCCTGGGGAAAACAGAAACTCACTTGGGAGCTCATGTCCCCAAATATTCTATGTAGTACAGTGCAGTCCAGTTTATGTATTGAAAGAACAGGCTCTGAAGAAAAACTGAGTTGGATTCAAATCTGAGTTCCACCAGTTTCTAACGTTATACACTTAGACATGTTACCTAATCACTTTGAACCTCAGATTTCCATACCTCTAAAATGGAAATACAAATTGTACCCACCTCCCAGTCTTGTGAGGATGAAATGAAGCAATGTGGGAAGCACTGGGCACAGAGGCATGGCTTAAGAAGCGGGAGTTAGGACTGTAGAGAACTTTGGCATGTCTCTGGAGCAACTCATTAGGGTTAGGAAACCAGGAGGATTGCCTGCATTAATAACACAACCTCAGGGGAAGCAGCCAGTTTTAGGACTCAGCCACCATCCACACCATTAGCTGTCCACTCCCTGCAGGCTGCCTGACATCATTGCGAGGAAGAATGGATTATTTAATTTTGGAAGATCCCTCACCCTTCAGGCACAGATGTGACTGACGCCAATGATTTCTCAACCAGCAAGGCTGGAGGGAGAGGCAGGGTTTTTTGTTTTTTTGTTTTTTGGCTTTTGTTTTCCTGCTTATGATTAGGATAGATAAATGGTAAGAAAGTAAACCTGGCTTGAATCATTTTCAAAGCTACTCAAAAGTAAAAGGTCTCTGGAAAATTTAGACAGGATGTGTTCAGTTTGCCTGCATTGTTATGTGGCATGTTAATCTGCCATTCCACATACTTTGCTTTCTCTTTCCTTCTATACTACTACGTAAGTAATCGGAAAATAATTAGGATGGAAAAGTCTTCATCAATATTACCTAGTTTAATGCCCCATGTTCCTTTCTAACATCCAGGAAAGACATGATAAGTTTTGAAGAATTCTCTTCCTCTCCTACCTGATATGTGTGATGCAGGGTGTCATACATAGTGAGAGTTCAGAGGGCAAGCTTGGAGCATAATTATACTTTCATAACATATGATAGGAAAACTTTCACTGTCAAAGAGAACATGATAGAATTTTCTCATTTCTGTGCAGGTTGCTATGTTTGGAAGTCGAAAAGACTCAGGCATGAATAGGAGAATAAAAAACCTTCTCATATATATATCCCCAGAATGTTATATTAAATTGATGAAAATAACAACCAACAAAAAGCCAAACAGGCCAGGTGCAGTGACTTATACCCATAATTCTAGCACTTTGGGAGGCCAAGGCAGGCAGATCACCTGAGGTCAGGAGTTTGAGACCAGCCTGGCCAACATGGTGAACTCCATCTCTACAAAAAAATACAATAATTCGCTGGGCATGGTGGTGCACACCTGTAGTCTCAGCTACTTGAGAGGCTGAGGCAAGGTAATTGCTTGAACCGGGGAGGCAGAGGTTGCAGTGAGCAAAGATCGTACCACTGCACCCCAGGCCGGGATGACAGAGTGAAACTCTGTCTCCAAAAAAGAAAAAATATGTCGACTAGAGAAACCTCAGTCCGAGCTTTTCCTTCTCAAATAGGCTTTGGATGCAGAAAGTTGGAGTAGGATTTTTCTTTGCGGGTTTTTTTGTTTGTTTGTTGTTTTGTTTTTTTGTTTGTTTTTTTTGTTTGTTTTTTTTTTTTTTTGGTAGGAAAAGTAAAAACTTAGGGATTAGAAGAAATTAAAATGATACGAAATACCAAAAAGCAGTGTTTGCTATGTTGTTTTCTTTGGATATAATTTAGATGATATGCACTAAAAACATCAGTGATTTTCTTTCTTTTAAACAGGATTTCATTTCAGATGGATCAAGAAGTGAACGTTGTGATATTGTTTCCAATTTAATAAGCAAAGGCTGCTCAGTTGATTCAATAGAATACCCACATGTGCATGTAACAATACCCACTGAAAATGAAATTAATACCCAGGTGACACCAGGAGAAGTGTCTATCCAGCTGCGTCCAGGTTTGGTCATTTTCAAATAAATCTATAATGATTCTTAATTTGAAATTGCAATTTATTTAAATTTGCTCATTTTTAATATTATGTGGCAGGCAATATTGTAGAAACCACAGTGGACTCAGATTCAAGAAATTAGAATTCTAGTCTTTACAGTGCCTACAGCCAGCTGTGTGACTTTGGACACTGCAAACCTGACCACATTATATTCTAATTATGTGTCTGTTCACAGAATCTGATCAGGTTGTGATGTAATTGTGTTTTTCTACTCTACTGCCAACCCTAGGAGCAAGGGGCATGTTTAGTCCACTCTCTTTTTCCAGTGCCTAGCAGAGTGCTGGCATATAGTAAACCCTCCATAAATATTTGTTAGCTTGATTGATTACTTGATTAGAAGGAGATGTGAATTAAGCTGAGTTCTTAGAGCCTTTGTAATAAACTTTTAATCACAAGGCTGCAATTCATGTTATCATAATTACCTTGGGCAGTTTTGTGATGGCCTCTGAGATTGGCCTATGTTGTAAGCCACTGGACATCATTCACTTTTCTCCAGTGCTACAGAATCCCAGTGTTAAAACTACACATAGTAAGGTAAATCAAGGTACACAAGTGTGCACCACTCAATTAGATGAATATAGCTTAACGCAGTTTGCGATTGGCTTTAAGCTTAAGTCATTTCAATGTGGGTGGTCCTGCCCTGCCATTAATTTTTAAATAACCATTCTTGATACAGTTCCTTTTCCATTCCAACACTGTGCTATTTCTTCCAGACTCTGATTATCAGAAAAACAAAATCCATTACTTTCTTGGCCCTGGGCACAGTCCCAGCTTCCAGTTAAAACTGTGCTCTTTCCCATATTAAATAATGAGACAGCCCAGTATGGACAGCCCAGTATGGAGCAACAGTGGGAAAGGAATATATGAAAATGAAAGTAATTAGATTGGTAAGATTGCAGCTCTTCCCACCTTCCATTGCAAAAAGTTATTTAGTGTGGTAAATAAATTCTTTTTTAGAAAAAGAGAAAGAGAGATGGAGAAACAAAAATTATATGTCTCTTATTCATCTAATTCCAACTCAATATGTCCACTAAACTCTGCCCTTAGGTATTCCTATCGTTACACATGCCTCTCTCTTGCACACATTTTCTTTTGCCTTTTTCTTAGTACTGGAAAGTTTGAACACTTTCCCTTAAGCTGTTAACTATCTTTCTCTCTCTTTTTTGTGTAATTTGTGTCTCCATACAAATATCCTTATTTTTCTAACTGAATGTTAATTTTTAGCAGCTTATATATAAAGTGTATTATATATCATTTGCCTCTGATAAATATGACTACATTCGTCAAAATGTCTTACTCTTTTTAAATACTTGAGATTTGAAAATTATAAGCTGCATTTTATTTTTCCTACACTCCTTCATGCACACTGAATATAAGCTGCATTTTAATGTTATAGTTGCCTAACCATCTTTAATGACTTTTTTTTCTTTTCCTGTTATCCTAATAGGTTTGTATTCCCAGTTATTCTGATCTACATGAGCCTATCTGAGATTACTTCTAACATCCCCAATTTCTTATCCATTTCCATCCTCAGCAAGACTATAATCTAGGGCCTTTCCCATTGTTAATCTACCTGATTCTTCAGGATCTTAATCCAAGTCATTGTCCCTTTCAGCACACATGTAATTCAATAATATTTCAGTTTTCTGACTCACATGAGTCTGGAAATACTTCCTAGTTCACACTTGAATTTTAAGAGCAAGTTGTTAATATCATCTTTACTGCAAATCTTTCTTTCAAAATTCTCAATTCCTTCCTCTTCACTCTTTGTTTTCCTCAACAGGATTTTTAAAACAGCAGAATTGAAAAACCCACCCCTTAATATTTGCACATGAAGTAAATAGGAACTATATAATACAATAGAAAAATAATTAATAAACAGTCTCTTAGTCTGTTTGGCTGCTATAATAAAGTACCATAGATTGGGTGGCATATACAACAGTAATTTATTTCTTTTTTTTTTTTTTTTTTTTTTTTGAGATGGAGTTTTGCTCTTGTTACCCAGGCTGGAGTGCAATGGCACGATCTCGGCTCACCGCAACCTCCGCCTCCTGGGTTCAGGCAATTCTCCTGCCTCAGCCTCCTGAGTAGCTGGGATTACAGGCACGTGCCACTATGCCCAGCTAATTTTTTGTAGTTTTAGTAGAGACGGGGTTTCACCGTGTTGACCAGGATGGTCTCGATCTCTTGACCTCATGATCCACCTGCCTCGGCCTCCCAAAGTGCTGGGATTACAGGCGTGAGCCACCACGCCCGGCCCAGTAATTTATTTCTTAATGGTTCTAGGGGATCAAAAGTCCAAGATACAGGTGCTAGAAGATTTGGTTCCTGGTGAGGGGTCTCATTCTGGCTTGCCATATCCACACAGGGGACAGAGAAAGTGATAAAGGGAGAGAGCACACATGCACAAGAGTAAGAGAGTGAAAGCTCTCCAATAGCTCTTCGTAGAAGGGCACTAATCTCATCATGAGGGCTCCATCGTCATGACTTCATCTAAACCTAATCATATCTCCCAGAGACCTCCCCTATTCAAATACTGTCTCATTGGAGGTTAGGGCACCAACATATGAATTTTTCAGAACACAATTCAACTGATAACATTTGATACATAAAATAATATTTTTTTTAAGTCTGTGGAATATTTTTAGAAATGAATTACACTTTAAACAAGAAAACAGAAATCTAAAAAAAAAACTTCTTATATGCCAATACCTATAAGCATAGTGCAATAAAATTTTAAATCAATACAAAAGGATAAGTAAATATTAAATAATAGCAAGTTTCAGAGAATCCTCTTCTAAATAATTCTATCTCCAAGAATAACGTGAAACTCTAGTCATAAACCAATAATAACAATAACAACACATCAACATATATGGGATGTTACTGAAGTTGTCATTAGGAACAGTCACAACTTTAAGTGCTTTTATTATTAAAGAAGAATTAATTCAGATGAACTAACTAAGCATCCAAAGATGTAAGAACAAGTGAGACAAAGAAATTCATAAGAAAAACAGAGAAAAGAGGTACTAAATTTAAAAACAAAGCAAAATTAATGAAATGCAAAATAGGAAAAAAAGAATAAAATGGATGTATAAATTCAAGAGCTGGTTCTCTGTAAAGTCTAATAAAGTAGATAAATTGTTGGCAAATCTAACTAAGGAAAGAGGACAAAAATCAAATAACCTAATGTATAAACTATAATTACAGAATAAAATTCAGAAAGAGGCCTTTAAGAAAATATTAAGCACCAAAATATAAGATAAAATGTTTAAATCTTGATAATATAGATATTTTTAGGAAAATATGTCTAACATTAACTCAAGATAAAGAACCCTAAGAGACCTAATATATAAGAAGTTTAAAACATTAGAAATGACTATAATTATAAAAATTATAATTACCTCTCTTAATAAGAAGCATTCCCTAAAGACATTAGGTCCAAATGCTTTCATGAGAAAAAATCTTTCATTTTCATTCAAATATTGAAAGAATACATTATCTTTGTGGCATATAAACTCTTACATCACTTTATTTTTTTATTTTTTATTTATTTATGTTTTTGAGACAGAGTCTCCCTCTGTTACTCAGGCTGAAGTACAATGGCACAATCTTGGCTCAGTGCAACCTCCGCCTCCCAAGTTCACGTGATTTTCCTGCCTCTGACCCTGGAGTAGCTGGGATTACAGGCACCTGCCACCACGTCTGGCTAATTTGTGTTGTATTTTTAGTAGACATGGGGTTCCACGGTGGTCTCAAACTCCTGAACTCAAGTGATCTGCCCACCTCAGCCTCCCAAAGTGCTGGGATTACAGGAGTAAGCCATCGCACCTGTCTAAACTGTTATATCACTTTACAGGATGCCTAGAAGCTACTTAATTATTACAAGAGTCCCATAACCCTATTATCAAATTCTTAATAAAATTTTAACTAATCAAATTAACTGCATGTGATAACAAGAACAATATTACTAAACAAATAGGCTTAAACTAGAAAACCAAAGATAGTTGATATTTTGGAATTAATGCATTTTTATGATGTTACTTTGCCAAAAAGAGATAAAACATATTGTTATCTCAATAGATAATTAAAAAATCATTCAATAAAATTTAGTGCCCATTTCTGGCAAAACCAAAATTGAAGAATACTTCCTTAGGATTTGTTAAAATCCTTCTCAAAAGTATACATAAATATGATTATAGTTTTAAAAATGAAATAAGAGTTATAAACATTTTGAAAAGATAAGGCAAAGTTATCATGCTATGGAAAATCCAAGTAAAACTAACTATTGAATTTATAAAATTTTATTCTGGCAGATTGTTTTTAAAAATATTCAAAAGTCAGTAAATTTCCTTTATAATATTAAATATAATGAAGAAAATGGTTAATTTTATAATTAGTTCATAAAAGCAATGTAGAATGTAAACTGTCTAGGAATAAACTTCTTAAAAAGTATAAGATCCACTGTGCTGCCTAACAGAAAATGCGAATAGAGAAAAATTTTATGCTCCTGAAGGTAGTATCATAACAATGACAGTTCTCTATATAGTCTATAAATATAACAAAGCCTAAGTGAATGAATAAATGTAAGACAATCCCAATCAAATTTGAATGTAGTTTTTTAAAACACATCTTCACTGAAGCTTATACATGTATAAGCTTACACATGTATACAAAGCTACATGTATCTTTGTATATAACCACATATTTCTTTAGCATGCATTCCTGGCAGTATATCTACTAGGTCAAATGTATGACAATATGTTTACTTTTTAATGTATTTAAAGTATATTATTCACAAGAAAATTTGATGTTCAGTTTAGCCTTTCATGAGTCAACCATGTCTGCTTTCATTCTTTTTAATATCTTTGATTTGTTTAACTAGTTCATAAGCTCTTTTCTTTTGCCTTTTTCATAGAACTAGAAAGTTTGAACATTTTTTCTAAGCT